GTCTTTCTTCTCTTCCTCCCTCTTTTTTTTGTTTCTTTTTCTTCTTTCTCTCTTTCTTTTTCTTTCTTTCTTTCCTTCTTTCCTTGTTTCTCTTTCCTTTTTTCTTCCCTTCTCTTTTTTCTTTCTTTCTGTCTTCTTTTTTTTCTTTCTTTCTTTTGTTTTTCCGTCTTATTTTTTATTTTTTTATTTTAGATGGAATAGGTCAGCGTTGACATATTGAACATTCTGGGGGAGCAAGGGAGTATAATTGCTGGATCAATGTCCTTGATGTGTAGGGAGGTTACCCATGCCCAGGAGAGGTGCCCTTTATTGAAAGACTAGGGGCCACACATAGTGGCTCATGCCTGTAATCCCAGCACTTTGGGAGGCCAAGGTAGGAGGATTGCTTCAGCCCAGAAGGTCAAGACCAGCCTGGGGACAAAGTTAGACCCTGTCTCTACAAAAAATCTTAAAATTAGCCAAGCATGGTGGCACACACCTGTAGTTTCAGATACTTGGAGTGCTGAGGCAGGAGGATAACTTGAGCACAAGACTTTGAGGCTACAGTGAGCTATGATCACTCCACCGCACCCAGCCTGGGTGACAGAATGAGATTCTGTCTCAAAAAAAAAAAAAAGAAAAAAAAAGACAGAGAGAGAGAGAAAGAAAGACTAGAAGGGAACATAAAATAAACATCGTAGATGTAGATGTCTGTAGTTTGAGGGCAAGGTTGGATTTTGAGGCTTAATAGCCTCCTTTATTTTTTATTTTATTTTTTATTTTTTTGTGATGGAGGCTTGCTCTGTTGACCAGGCTGGAGTGCAATGGCGTGATCTTGGCTCACTACAACCTCCACCTCCTGGGTTCAAGAAATGCTCCTGCCTCAGCCTCCCAAGTAGCTGGGACTATAGGCACCCGCTATCATGTCTGCCTACATGTTTTAGTAGAGACGGGGTTTCACCGTATTGGCTAGGCTGGTCTTGAAATCCTGACCTTGTGAGCCACCCACCTTGACCTCCCAAAGTGCTGGGATGACAGGCGTGAGCTATCGTGTCCAGCCAATGACTTCCTTTTTCACCACGAAGTAAGAGGATTTATGTTTTGCTGTAAGTTGGAAGAGGAGACTAAGAAGTGTAAGGAAACTAGAGGTGATTAGTTTGAAATAATAGTTGAATAGGAATATGAATTGCAGATGAGTTATTCCCAGAGAGCCCAGCTAAAGCTAGAGATGAAATGCTCCACTGAAGCAGAGATTCTATGCTGAAAGCAGAGGTGGGTTTCAGTTAAACCCAAGAGGTAGAGATAATGGAGTGAGAAGGATCAAGACGCTAGGACAATTGCAGGAAAAGTTGGGAAGCAGGTTTGGTTAAGGGGGTCAGATGCCAATGACTGCAAGGGGGTGAGAATAAAGTGAAAAACAGGAAACTAGAAGCACTGTTTGAAGAGCCATTGAGGGTGACAAAAGGGTATTAGCTGGACTCAATGAAAAATAATGTATTAAAATATACTTTTTACAAAAATCTTTTCATAGTCATTACCTCAGAACATGAAAATGGGCAATAGGATAGAGGGGAGAACTTTTACTTTTGACTTTACATTCTTCCATACTGTTAGAGATACATTCTATGCCATGAACAAGTATTACAATTGCTATTAAAAGCTAGCTAGAGTATCTATTGACAGGGTATGCAGTTAACTAGAGTACATATTAATTAAGTACTTTTTTAGAGACAGGGTATTGCTTTGTCACCCAGGCTGGAATGCAATGGCACAATCACAGCTCATTGCAGCCTCAAACTCCTGAGCTCATATGATCCTCTCTGGAGGCCTCAGTCTCCCGAATAGCTACAACTATAGGCACACGCCACCAGGCCTGGCTAATTTTTTTTTTTTTTTTTTTTTTGTAGAGGCAAGGTTTCATCAAGTTGCCCAGGCTGGTCTTGAATTCTTGTACTCAAGCGATCCACCTACCTCCACCTCCTAAAGTGCTGAGATTACAGGCATGAGCCACTGCACCTGGCCTTAGAGTACATTCTTATAAATAAAAGCACTGATGCGGTGAGATTTTACTATTGGAAACGAGAAGTCCTTCAAGTCTTAAGTCCTTACCTCATTTCCTACTCTAGGGTCCTCACATTAACCTGTAGACTTCCATTTCCTGTCACCCATTCTCTTGTTCTCCTTCACTCCAAATCACTTAGGACTGAAGGTGATGCCACAATGTTTCTGAGAAAAGAAATCAAGGAAATGAACTGCATACCTATGCACAGATTTTTCTGTCTAATGAATTCAGTTGCATCGGCTGGGATCATTGAGGATGACCCTAGGAGGTAGAAAAATTGACAGAGTAAAGATAATATGACATTCCTAATAAATGAGCTAAAGGTCTAAACACTCTAGAAGGTTAATCTGGAAAGCTTCCAAAGTCAATTGTTTACCTTACCTATCCTTTTACAAAGTCTTACTTGATCCTAACTGAGTCAGATAACCCCTTGTGATTTTATCTAAAGCATCCCAAAAAATAGAGGAAGAGAAATGAAAGGAGTGTTTTGTCTTAGAGTCCACTACCTAGCTTTACAGTACATTTACCCAATTATCAAAGTGCCTTTGTTGCCAAACATATAAAAAATGTGAAAGTATTTGGCACAGTGAGAATTCTGTTATCAGATCTGAAGGTAGCATTTGTTATTACAGTATAGTGCTGGTTGAGCAAGGTCTTGGAAAATTATCTTAATGTTTATTTTATATTAACTCTTACAGTAGATTCCAACAGGTGACTTTTAAAAACACTCATCAAAGAATTGTAGCTGGAATGTAGAACTAGCCTAAAACTGAGGAGATAGATGCCGTAACCCAAGCAATTTTATAAACTATCAGCCAACTTTTGTAAAGGGTTGCTATTATTAAGCAGTTTGCATGGTTTTTATGTAAATTTCCCTTTGGTTTACAAACTTGATTTATAGGTCAAAATTTCCCTCAACTTTAAAAATTCAAATTTCACTGCTCTTGTTTACTTCTAACACTGGTTTCTGTGGTATGTGATTAGAGGATAATCTGTGGCTATCTAAAGACCTGTGTTTATATTTTGCAAGGTACCTTTCTCTGTATATGCAGGAATTCTCTTGTTATTGTGAAATCTATCCTCTCCTCTTTGTCATTTATGAAGGAGTGCTGGAAAAATCTGGAGTGTCTCCAGTCCTCTTAAGCACATATTTTTACCATGATTTTATGCATGAGACCAAAATGCTCTGCTGGAAGCATTATTAACACACACCAAGAGATACTTTAACATAGAAAATCTTTTTAAAGTATGTTTCAATCACTATTAATTGGCTTCTCAGAAACCTCTTATTATATCTTTCTGGATTCCTCCACCAAAGCTGTTTTTCATGTTTTGATAACAAAAATTAATTTGTTATAGATATAAGCGAAGAGAACTTGACTTTTTTGTCTCAGGCCTTTTGATAAATGCTTATTACTGAATTGCTCTTCCTTCATTTAATTTTCTACTACAGGGCTTTCACCAGGTTTGAAAAGCATACATTAAACAATATGCATAGCAACCGTTCTTTCCACTGAATGAATGGAACCATAAAGGTTACTCTACAGGCCAACTGAATAAGCTAATTTAGCCACTGCCTGTGTATGTTAACCAGAAGAGAAATATTTCTATGGCATTTTTTAAGAAAGATGTATCTTAAATGAGCATTTTTTAGTATGAAGTGACTTAAACTTGGACAGTGTTTGAAGTTAACTGATTCAAGCAGTATTACTGGTAATCGTGACAGTGTAAAATTATTTAGCATGTGTAAAAACAAAAAAGGAAGGAGCAAAACCCTACCAGAATTTATCCTTAAGATGCGACTATCAAGATCACTACTATTGATGAGGCTGGAAAGCTGCCATTTCATTAAGTGTACCTTTTCTATTAAAAGAAATATTTTTGGCCGGGCGCGGTGGCTCACGCCTGTAATCCCAGCACTTTGGGAGGCCGAGGCGGGTGGATCACGAGGTCAAGAGATCTAGACCATCCTGGTCAACACGGTGAAACCCCGTCTCTACTAAAAATACAAAAAATTAGCTGGGCATGGTGGCGCGTGCCTGTAATCCCAGCTACTCAGGAGGCTGAGGCAGGAGAATTGCCTGAACCCAGGAGGCGGAGATTGCGGTGAGCCGAGATCGCACCATTGCACTCCAGCCTGGGTAGCAAGAGCGAAACTCCGTCTCAAAAAAAAAAAGAAATATTTTTGGAAAAAAATAAATCCTGAGGGCCGCTGTGGTGGCTCTCGTCTGAAATCCCAGCACTTGGGAGGCCAAGGCAGGTGGATCACTTAAGGCCAGGAGTTCAAGACCAGCCTGCGCAACATGGGGAACCCTCATCTCTACAAAAAACACAAAAATTACCCAAGTGGTGGCACACGCCAGTAGTCCCAACTACTTGGGAAGCTGAGGTGAGAGGATCACTTGAGCCTGGGAGGTTGAGGCTGCAATGAGCTGAGATCACATCTCTGACTCCAGCCTGGGTGACAACGCACGACCCTGTCTCAAAATAAGGAGTAGAAAAGAGGAGAGGGAGAGGAGAGGAGAAGAAAGGAGAGGAGAGGAGATGACAGGAGAAGAGAGAAAAAGAAACCCGGAAGTACTGATGGTAGTTCATCAATGGTATGGTGTTGGGTGAATACATCCAAATGCTCTCATGCACAGTGGTCTTAATGGGAAATCAGCTTGTTTGGCATAACATTCACAATAATATTATCCCCATATAGCTGTTAGTCAGATTCAACAGCATCAAGATTTTCCTACATTGACCTCATATGTCTAATTTTCTTCCTTAACTGTTAAAGCAATTCCCAAAAGTCATGTCCTTCATTTCACTCTTTCATTTATTGGTATGTATCTCATAAGCCTTGACATCACCACAAGCCATTACCACATATTACAAACTGTGAATAAACATTCTCTGGTATATCTATCTTGGAACATTGCATAAATGTAGCAAAACTATTTTCTGTCAGAAATACCTCAGGGGAAGGGTACTCGTGAATGGAGAGGCATACATCTCCTCTGAAGGCAATTGTGTTTGCGCAATTTTCTTCTCATGGCCAAATTAACTGAAGGAAAAAGAGAGAAGCATTAGGAGCAATTTTCAGAGGTTTAATTATTGTTTAATCTAGACAACGTAAACATATATTTTGGAACCAAACTAGACTGTGGTTATTTGCTATTTGTTCAGATGTGATTCTGAAATTAAGAATCAATGTGATGCATATACACAAGGGGTGTTCCTAACAGTTCATGTTAATAGCGAGATCATCTTTTACATTTATTCATTTACTTAATTCCTATCGTTAAGCAATATACCAAGGTCTAAAGAGTAATATCCTCCTCCTTTTACATGATTTTTTCCTAAATGCTCCTAGACCTTTTATTTTATGTAGTAAATTAATCACAAATATTTTGTGAGAACATTGTCCAAGCTATTCCGTGTTTCCGAAAAGTATAAATGGCTTGAATAGTGACTACTGTAAACAATAAGAAGGGATCAAGCTGCTTTCTCAAAGTTGCTGACTTGGAACTTTTTTTTAATTTATGTAAAAGAACAGACCAGGGGACATCATTTAAAATAAACTCACAGTGGTCAAACTTCTAATTAACTAAAAAGCAAAGTCTGAATTTTTAACAAGTAATGCATCATTTTCTATTCTAACTGGAGATGTATATTATCAAGAGAATAATCTAACATATTTGGATGTAAATATTGCCACCTTTTTATTTAAAGTTGGGTTTGTGATATTCCTGAGTCAGAAAACTTTTAACTTTCTAATTTCTTTTCCTTTTTTTTTTTTTTTTTTTTTTTTTTTTTTTTAACTTACCAGTTCTTTGAAATCTTAGCTATTTGGTTTTGAAGTAAAAGTACATTAGAATAATTTTGTGTACTAAATTTCTGTTAAATACAATATAGTTGATATCATCTTTGAAAACATGTCAAGTAAATTAATATTATATATCTTTACCATACATATTTTTGACACTTTTTGGCTCTATAAGCATAATAAGAATAACAACTGCACTAATTGTTTTAAGTGACACGCCTAGTTACATAACTAGAAATAACAGCTATTGACTTGTTTTAAGATTTCATGTACATTTGGTCACAGTATGCTTTTTGTATGTTAATTCAGTCCCTACACTGGCCAGCAACATACTTATAAATAAAATTCTTTGGAGTTTCCATTTTACCTAAAAATTTATAGATTTCTTTCCCTCTGTAATGAATAGACCAACATTTCTGTTTCATTTTACTTGTAAAGGCAACACATCTACAATAGCTTAGAGATCTATTTTCTTTGCATTTAGAAAAAAAGTGGTAAAATACTTATCATTTTGAAGTCCAGCTATTTTTAAAATATTGAAATAATAGACCCAACAGGATAGATAGCATACTTTCAAAGTCCTACACATTTATCCCCAATACTACTAACCGCAAGCACACCTAAGCGGTTTTCAGATAAACACAATCATGCTCAGAGACCCAGGGATGCAAACAGGCAAAACTAGTTACTTGTACAAATGTTATCAAAGGCCTACCTGGTCTCTGTCCGCTGATAAGGAGAAGACTCATAATAAAAATAAAAAATGCAAAAAGGAATTTCTGAAATCTCATTTTCCTACCGCACAAAAGTGAAGCAATGGCTCTCAGTGTAAACCAAACGATCTGTAAATAGTCTGTGCAATTTCTGTGTGGCTGTCTTCACATTCTAATGACAAACCTCAGAGAACTGCCAGCTGCGTTTTCCAAGAAGGTTAATGATCACATCAGACAAGGTTGCGGAGCTCTGTGCTGTGGTCAGAGCCTCCTTCAACCTCAACCCCCTCCTCCACTCCTCTCCTCCTTTCTCCTCTGGCACTCCCCTTTATTTCCATAAGCAAATATTGGTGAAATAAACCATTCAAGCATGCTGTGATTTCAGTGGAAGTATACTCTGAAAGCTCCAAAAAGAGACTGACTTAAATTCAATCTGGATACGAAGAAATATGTAAAACAATATGTGACACTGCCACCTCCCCTTACCATTTGCATCTGTTTAAACTTTGCTCATATTGGTCCCACATGCAGAAACCAGTGGAAATGACAGGAAGTCTCCATTTTGTCCTTTTCGGAAGGAATTCTGAAGCTCTAACATAAGACCCACAAATGCTTTGTGGCAGAACATATGCCGAAATGCCTTATCTTCACCAAGCTTACTACAAAGAGGTGTCTGTTTGCACTCTCTCCAAATTACCTAACTCATGTGGGTTTGTATTGGTAAAGATTTTGGAAATTTAGAATGTTTTGAAATAAATCTGCAAAACATTTACATTTCTTTTAATATTTGGTAAAATGCAATTTTAAAAGTAACGAGATTATTTTCATCTGCAAATGTCTAGGATTTTAAAAAAGGAAGTTCAGGCAAGCCACAAACTCATGAAATCTATGTTGTGTTAAAAATTTACATGTGGTGGAATACCAGGCTAACACACCACAGTCACAGAAATTGGAGATGGAGAAAAAACATCTTAGTTTATCTCCCAGTGAATTCAGAAGACACAAAAACAGTCTAGTCTTGGCCTTCTTACACATACACCAAGATCTCTTTTTGTTTCAAGTGCTCCCTTATATGTCAGATACAGCTGTAATAAATGGAAACGACTATACTTATTATGTAAGTATAATAAACTCCATTTATGACAGCTATATCTTACGTATTTTAGGTAAAATGCAAAATACCAAAAGAATAGTGTAGATATACCCTGAAACAGAAGTACAGCTAAAATACTCACTCTAAAGCGTATGGAATTTGTTTTGAATTGTTAGGAGTTTTTGTTGTATTTGGTTTCTTTAGACTCAGAAAGCTGGTCCATAACCTTGGGCTTCCTGAGGTTTGAATTTAATGCCCAATTTGTCTTGATGTACAATAAGTCAATCTGTAAATTTCCTTACCTATCTAGTTAGGCATGCGGTTTATAACAGGCAATGGCATACAGGAATTCTTAAAATCACTTTATTGAAGTGTTGAGAATATATTGACCTATTTGGGGACTTGAAGCATAGTTTTAAAGGATACTACTTTACCATGCTGTACATCGCTTCATAAAATCAATGGGATACAACAGAGTTTGAACTCGTGATATAAAAGTGACTTATGAATGGCAAAGAGCTGCATTCTAACAGAGTTGAATGTTAAATCAATAAGAGACCAATATAGATTTTGGCACTAAAACTTCGTGCCAAGTTTTAAGTCTATTCTTATAATAGTTAGTCTTCTTTATAGATAAGATAGAGATCTACCACAGACAGCAAATATTGACTAAAATTTTTATATTTCATTAGCAGGTAGTCAACAATGAATTCCTAGAATATCGCTAATATACACCAGTGCTGTGGAAGATACATGTCTCCGCTGATCAGGACTGAGCAAACTGTTATGTTTAAGTTATGTAACCACATAGGACATACTTTTTCTTATCAAAAAAAAAAAAAAAAGTGATAAAATACTTGGTTTTCTACCTGAAAGAGTGCATAGGTATTAAACTCATGAAAATTTAGACATGATTTATTTACATATTTTAAAATTATTGTTTAAAAAAAGGTGTTTAGTTGTCTTCTGGAGTATAGTAATAAAGTGATTATACAGTTAATGAGCAAACTGAAATGCTAGACAGGAGGGACAATGACAAGTAATGCAGCATTTCTGTGGAATGGAGTAAAAAATAGCAATAAATTATTCATCTTAGTACAGAATAACTAGATGTGGAGAAATCTTGATAGGAAAGCGTCAGAACAATGCCACTGGCTCTGCAAACAGCACTTTCAGCCTGCAACTACAGGAGAACAAGGAATCTTCTTTGTTTACATGAACACAAACCTAGACTTCCACCCAAGTGACAGCCTTTGTGAGAGAGGCAAGCACTGTGCCTCTGGGCCAAATCCTATGTTAAGTGTGTTGCATTCATTGCTTCGCATAATCCTCCCAAAAACGCTCTGCAGTATGCCTCCCTGCTTACCAGATGAGAAAACTGACAGCTAAAGAGGTGTAGCCTCCAAGGGCTGGAAGAATAGATCAGATCCAAATTCCATAATCTCAGCTTTCAACCATTTTGCTATCCTCCCTTTTGAGGCCCAAATCCTAGTTCAGAAAAAAAAAAAAAAAAAAAAAAAAAAAAAAAAAAAAAAAAAAAAGCCTATCGAAGCTATTGTAAAACGAAAGATAAATTAGCAATATATTTCTTTTTTGTTTTGTTTCGTTTGGAGATGGAGTCTCACTGTGGCTCTGTCCTCCAGGCTGGAGTGCACTGGTGCAATCTCTGCTCACTGCAACCTCTGCCTTTGGGGTTTAAGTGATTCTCCTGCCTCAGCCTCCCCAGTAGCTGAAATTACAGGCACCCAACACCACGTCCGGCTAATTTTTGTAGTTTTTTTTTTTAGTAGAGATGGGTTTTCACGATGTTGGCCAGGCTGGTCTCATACTCCTGACCTCAGGTGTCCGCCCACTTCAGCCCCCGAGTGCTGGGATTACAGGCATGAGCCACCGCGCCCGGCCATTAGAAATACATTTCTTGTATGAGGTTGAATACTGTGCCCCCTAAAATTTATGTCCATCTGGAACTCACGATGTGGTCTTATTTTAAAATAGGGTCATTGCATGGGGCACAGTGGCTCACACCTGTAATTACAGCACTTTGGGAGGCTGAGGTGGGTGGATTACCTGAGGTCGGGAATTCAAGACCAGCCTGACCAACAGGGAGAAACCCTGTCTCTGCTGAAAATACAGAATTAGCCGGGCATACCTGTAATCCCAGCCACTCGGGAGGCTGAGACAGGAGATTCCCTTGAATCCGGGAGGCAGAGGTTGCAGTAAGCCGAGATTTTGCAATTGCACTCCAGCCTGGACAACAAGAGTGAAAGTCCGTCTCCAAAAAAAAAAAAAAGAAAAAAAGAAAAAAGAAATAGGGTCACTGCAGATGTAATCAGTTAAAATTGAGATCATACTGGAGTAGGGTGTGTCCTAAATCCGGTATGGTAGCTGCTGCCCTTATAGGAAAAAGAAGAGGGCTGGGCGTGGTGGCTCACACCTGTAATCTCAGAACTTTGGGAGGCCGAGGTGGGAGGATCACCCGAGGTCAGGAGTTCCAGACCAGTCTGACCACCACGGAGAAACCGCTTATCTACTAAAATACAAAAATTAGCCAAGCATCAGGGCGCATGCCTGTAATCCCAGCTACTCAGGAGGCTGAGGCAGGAGAATCGCTTGAACGTGGCGGGGTGGGTGGGTGGCAGAGGTTGTGGTGAGTGGAGGTGGGCCATTGCACTCCAGCCTGGGCAACAAGCGCGAAACTCTTGTCTCAAAA